GAGAGGGTGCGCCGGGCCCAGCCTGGAAGACCTGAGCAGCATCCCTAGACACATACCGGTTTCTTAATGACAGCCTAGTCTTTCAGTGGATGAAAAAGTAAGGAAAGAGCAGCCAAAACAACAGCCAGGGGAGCCCTGCAGCTCTTCCCGTCTTGAACGCTTTTATATTACACCTGGGACATCCCTGCACAAAGCTAGCGAGGGCTGGCAAGAGACCATCCTCCAAGCAGGAAAAGCCTCCTTCCACTACCACGCACAGGCCAGCTGCTCCTGCCACCTCTGAGCGGGCCCTGTGGTGTCCTGCTTCGGGAGCGCACCCAGCCTGTGGCTGCTGCGTCCTCGGTTCGTCGTGCACCGCACAAGGTTAAGTACTGAACGAGGCAACGAGTTCTACAGCAAGGCCAGGATGTTTCCCCTCTTGCGGGGCTCCGGGACACCCAGTGCTTACCTGGGACGTAAAGTCATGCTGCTGCAGCTGCCTGCCTTCCCGCAGGTCCCAGGAACGCACCGTGTTGTCCAGACCACCCGTCCACAACTTCGTACCGTCATGAGAGATATCTATGCAGCTGGCACCATCCGTGTGCCCTTGAAATTGCCTTCAAAAAAAGAAATTTAACCCTTCAAGGAGGAGCGCTAGCACAAACCACGTAGGTGGTTTCAAAGGAAGCTCAGAAAACGCCTGCAATTGTGCAACCCAAGGCTAAGAAAAGCATGACGCAGGGAGCTGGAGGCAGGAAAAGGGAAGGAGGCTTTTTAAACGAAGCAGTCAGGGGAATCATGTTTCTGATCTGCCCTACAGGCCTCGTATCGGCTTCGCAGGGAGGAGAGCGCTGCCTGCGTGACGTGCCCTGCCCAGCACCACGCTCTCTAGACACCCCAGGGTGTCACTACAGCCATTTCCCCTTAGGTTGCATTTTCAAGGCTTTCCTCACACCAAGGGCATCTGGAAGCCCAACTGCTCTCCTCCCGTCCCCTCTACTCAGGCTCAGCCACCGGCAAACCAGGAGCTAACGTGAAAGAGCTTCTTCGCCAAGGCACCAGTGTGAACCAGCCCGTTCGGTTAAGTTACAGAGAGCACCACAAGCTGGCCCTCTCATTGCCATCCCCGGGGTTCTCGTACCAAAACGGCCAAAAGATCCCAGATCATACGAGCGCGCAATCAGCATGCTCCAAAGCTCCCCACCCTCCCGCTTTGGCCACGCAGGCGGCGAGGTGCACGTACCTGACGAGCGTTTGGTTGTGCAGATCCCACACGGCGATGTTGCCGTCGCTGCAGCAGGAGAAGCAGACCTTGGCGTCGGGGCTGATGGCCAGCGCGTAGCAGGCCGGGGCGGAGGAGGTCAGCTCGGCCTTGATGCGGGGCGTGGGGGACGCCAGGTCCCAGATGGTGAGCGTGCTGGCCTCCCCTCCCACGATCAGCGTGCGGCCATCGGGCAGGAGCTTGCAGGAGCGGATGTAGTTATCCCTGTTCTGGGGGAGGGAGAGCAACGGTGCCGTTACCGGGAGGGACGCACAACCCACCGCGCTGGAGGTGGGGAAACCACAGGGGACAAGTTCTGCTTAGTGACGAGCAGCGATCTGGCAGGGGCTTGCGTAGGTGCCAGGGATAATCCAGGGCAGCTGATCCGGATGCTGCAGTTCCCCGTGCAAGGGAAAACGGCCCTGCCCCGAGCCCGCCTTGCCCTTACCAGGCAGTCCAGCTGTGAGATGGGGCTCTTGCTGCCCGGCTGGCTGATGTCCCAGATCTTCACGCATCCTTTGCCCCCGGTGTAGACGTGCCTGGTGGGGTTGCTGATGGTCACGGCGCACACCACCTCGCCGTGGCTCAGCGTGTTGATCTGACGGGCGTGCCGGGGGATGCCGGGGCCCGCGAGGGCATCGTGGGGAAAGGGCACCGGCTGCATCTGCCCGTCGGCGCTCACGTGGAACGAGTAGGCTCTGCCGAGGGAGGGCAAAGGAGGCATCAGCCCCACGGAGAGAGGGTTGCTGCAAGGGCGGCATAAGGACAGGGCAGCACTGCAACCCAGCCGCCGGATCGCGCTCGCGGTCGGGTG